TAAAGATAGTATTAATCCTGCTGGGGCAACAACATAAACATGCCTTCAAAAGTAAAAAAAAAAAAGAAAGAAAAAAGGCCGCCAAGTAACTGACAGATCAGTGGCTATGCGACCAAGCAAGGCGGCGTGCTGCCGCAACCCGCAATCATCCCCGCCATCATGCTGTCAAGCCGCTCCCTATCCCGCTGCCTAGAGAACGGGTGCCAAAGCTGCAAAAAGGCCAACTGAAATGTCCTGCAGGTTCTTTCTTAAGAAGTGACAATTGAAATGTAAGCCACTGATGTTTCATCTTGTTGCTATTTCACGTAAGTCCAGAATTCCAGATATCCAAAGGCTAGTGATCACAATTATTTCACTGTTTTGATACAGACTACAGTAGTTACTTTACACTTGGTGCAGGAAGTTCTGTGCTTATTGTTACAGAGTTTGAAGTAACGGGACAGGACACACACAGGTACAGACAAAGCAGTGAGAACTACTGATTCACCCCCGGCCTATGTCTAGGCAGAGGAAGGGGCATCCGGCTGCCGGTCAGGGAGCGCAGCTTCAAATGCAGGGTGTGTCATATATTGATCGTAGAGCCTCGCGAGGGTGGGATAGTTCGACTGCGGCAAGCGCAATCATGTTCCGTTAGTTCATCAAAGATAGTGACAAGTATAGTTGTGGACTTGATAGTAAGTGAAAGTGCAGTACCATGTCGATTTGATAACGAGTCACCGCAGCAAAAATCTGGGGTGCAAGGAATACATCTGCCTGCATGTAAATAGGATGCGGCAGTTAGCTACTTAGCTGAGTCGACTCGGGGTAGTTTACACTTGCAATGGTAGTTGTTGCCCTAGGATTGTTGAAATATGAATTCTATTTCATTTCCCGGGAGGAACTAGACTACAGTTACTTTCAAGGGACAAGGGACACCTATTAATACAACAATAGATGAATCTACAGCAGAGAAAATTCATTCCAGATAATGATGTTCTTTGGTGTTCAACAGAAGAAAATAAAGAGATAGAAAATAGTAGGGTAGCATACGAACCAGTTGGACTTCATCTCCCATAGCAAACTTCCCAGCACAGCCTTTGATCATGTTCTCAACAGCTGAACCGTTGGGGGTGAAAGTGAGCACATAGTTGCATAATGAGAAAGCAGACAGAGGCAGGGAAACACCAAGTGTAAATGCAGGATAAGAAGTTCTAAAGGAAATAATGTGAGTTTCTCAAAACATGCAAGATCACTGAATTACTTGGTGAGCAGTATTTCCAAAGCAAATTTTCTGGATGGAAGTAATGCTGCAAATATAGCAGTTATAACCAAGAAAGAAGGGACATGTCTGTGAAGACAACCTGTGAAACCTCTATCAATCTGTTGTTTGACCCACGGGATGCTCTCCCCTGTTCCAACTTTTTGCTCGATAAATCTCTGTAGACAAATGAGCAATAAAACACAACAGCAAGTTAAGTATCTGTGCAATTTATAAGCATAAGCTATCTAAATATAGAGTCAACTAGTATTGCACAGCACACATGGGTAGCCGTCCCTCTATGGGCCTCAGGTGCATTGGCAATCAGATTTTAGATATAGAACACACAGTGGTCGTCATATGCTTAGTAATGCATAGTCGGTACTTACCACCAAGGTGAGATTGTGAAGAGGTTGAATACCAGAACACACAATGCTTGCTATCTGCGATAAAAGTTAGTAGAGGAACATCCACATTAGTATTATGAATTCGTGACAGAAGAAAAAGCTGAACGTATACAGTAAGTATTTTGTAGATTATAGTTGGACCTGATTATATATATGTTCCCTTTGCTCAGAGCGGGTCAGATAAAGTAGATTCAGAAACTTTCTTGCTGTTATTTATTGTGTACTTTCTGCTATGCTTTGATAACATGAATCTGAGGATGGATTTTTTGGTGGGTCAGATTAAATAGAATACTAACTAACCTGTAAGCAAACTGTAGAACGATTGAGAAAACAGATCAAAGAGACAATAAATAACAGTTACTACACGATTGACTCCACATATGGAAGATACAAATTACTACTACTGGGATTAAAGCATGAAATACTTCTGGCTGACCATGATGAGTTAAAGGTTATCATCAATTACCTGGATATTCAGGGCCTTCTTTTTAAGGTCTTGGGGCAAAAGAGGGCGCTGAGGGTACTTGTCCTCCAAATACTGTAAAAGTCACAACAAAGCAAGTGGTTGATAACTGATAAGAGAATGGTGCTGCGTAGGAGGAACACACGATTTGGAGACCCCGGGAAAGAGTGACTTGCCAATGCTATTGCGTAAGAGTCGCCGATTACTGCGTCGCCGTCGACCAAGGCAGGGACGAACTTCATAGGATTAAGCTTCATGAACTCTGCCACCCACAAAATAAGATAAATGAACCTAGTGAGTGGCAGGTATACATATCTTCACCATCAAACAACTGACGCAAGTGCAGAGGACAGAAAGCAGAGGGTGCCGTACCAGGATCAGACTGCTCGCCCTTGAGGAGGTTCACCGCCTTGTACTCATAATCGATACCTGCAGAGAATGATGAAAAATCATACGCGCGCGAATCCAGTTTACTCGACGTAATCAGAGAAACGACGAGGGTGGGGTGAGACCAGAACCAGATAGGGGGGAAGAGCGAGCAGCACGCACCTTTGAGGTTGAGCGCGATGCGGACGCGGTGGGAGCAGGAGCTGCGCCAGTACGAGTAGAGAATCGGCCTTGCCGTCGGAGCCTCCGCCGAAGCCATTCGGAGCTAGCAGCAGCTCGGTCTCGGAGGCGCGGATTCGTGGCCGGCGGCCAGGGAAGAAGTGGACCACGGCAGCGCTCGGTCGAGCCGGAAGCCAAGTGGGACACGGAAATAAAAAGGCAACTCAAGTGGGTTCGTTCACCGAACACGCAGGGCCCATGTCCGGGTCGCAGGCTCGCAGCCTAGCCCGTCCAGCTCAGTTTAATAAAGCGAGGCAGGGTGCTTGGATCAAGGGACTTATTTTAGTCTGACTATAAATAGTCTTTTTAAGAGGCTAAAGTTCCAACCACCTCTGATTAAAGAGGAACTAAAACTAATCTTGAGATTAAGTTTTTTTAGTCAGGGGTACCCCTACTAAAATGTGGATTAGTTCTCTTTCTCCTTATTTAACTCCTTTTTTTTAACACATGCGAGTTCTGAATTGAAGGGTTTAGAAGATAATAAATGCTCATTAATTTGATTTTAGTCTCTTTATTATTTGGATTCAAGCATGGGTGATGTTAGCAAGTTTTACTCCCACTAATTTTAGTCATGAGACTAAAACGTATCCAAGCACCCTCTAACATTATTTTTCTCTTCTTCTTGACGGCCTACATTGATTACTTCAACAAATAAATATACTCCCTCCGTCCGGAAATAAATGGATAAAAAGAGGTGTATCTAGTACATTCTAGATACACCTCTTTTTATCCATTTTGATGAGAAGTATTTTTGGACGAAGGGAGTACTTGCTCTAAAAACATGAAATCACTGGTCGAGAGTAGATACCTCTTTTGTGATGACAAGTGGCATATCATATGTCAGTTTCATCGGTTTTTAGAAAAAGAAGAATCTCCCTCGCCTTCTGCATCATTGCGATCCACACTGTCATATCCTTTATAACACTAGGCTCCTTAAATTTAAAGAACTCACAATCAATTGAGGTCTTCAATTAAAATTGGATCACCTTATTTTGACCGGGTCAACACTTTCCCAAAACTCTTTTATTCAATTTTTTATACTATACACTATGCCTCATAATTAATCAAGGTCTTCAATATAAAATTGAGTCACTCTCTCCATTCATTTATTTTAATTCACTATTGTTCCCTAATTTTGAAGCTCTTCAATTCGATTGAGGTATTCAATTATGAATTTGGTTTACTATTTTGACCGATCAATTATTTTTCAAATGAATCAGCAAAAACCACCACCCAGGAAAAAAAGCCACCAGGTGATATTGTATAGCACCAATATAGTCCATGCAGCTACCGACGCAAAAATCCCCCCCCCCCCACATAAATATGGGTTTCTTAGCGGATAACACAGAATCACATCAAGAAAGGCCCACCAAATCATCGAAATATAAAAAAGTTAAAACACACGCCATCATCTCTCTGCCCCCAAACTAAATATTACATCAATTCCAAAATATAAGGGGTATTAGTTTTTTGAAAAGTCAAATTTCTTGAACTTTGACCAAGTTCAGAGACAAAATGCCAACATCCACAACATTAAAAAAATGGAAATTCATTTTATGATGAAACTAATTATATCGATTTGTATTATGGATTTTGATATATTTTTCTACAAATTTGATCAAACTTAAAAAGATTTGACTTAAAAAATGCAATACACCTTATTTTTGAAACAAAGTGAGTAATATTTTTAAGAAACCCAACAACACCAACGGCGCAACAAAGCGCTCACAACACTTCTAGTATTTATTAAAGTTTAAGTACAAAACAAGTGCTAAACTGGAGTACACATGTAAAATAAAATAAAAAGGCACAATGGGTAAAAATAAGGATATATGACTACACACATTCACATTTTACGCCCTATACTTAATCAACTTTGAGTCGCTCCTACGTCTTCCAATGGTTAGCACCAGTTTGAATTGGTGCTAAGAATTCTGAACACCCAATGTTGACCAACATTGCTTATGCTATGAACTTCTTCAATTATTCTATGCTAATAAGATTTATATTATGTATAAGAGGATCATGTTTTTTTTTCATCTAGCTTGAAAATGGCTCGAAACGGCATCAACGTTGTTAGTACTTCCTTGTAAACAAATACTCCCTCTGTTCCATAATATAAAAACGTTTTTTACACTAGTGTATTGTCAAAAACGCTTTTATATTATGGAACGGAGGGAGTACTATATAAGAAATTTTAGAGACTTGATGAGGTAGTAGAAGCCAAGTACGAGTCAGACTCTGCAGCTCGACCACAAGCTCAAGTCAAATTGAGCTCATTTGTTTTGAAAACGAGCTGAGTCAAGCCAAGTCTGCAAATCTTTGACTCCACTGGTTTGCACCCCACTTGCGGGTAGAGAATGAAAGAAACTGCAAAGAAAGTATAAGCCGTTCTGTGATTAACTGAATTTAATGAGACAGTTATTTGCTATCACAATAGCTCGATGTTAATGGAATAATCAGAAATTAGGATAATTAACAAATTACTTCGTGTTAGCAAACTGAGCGTATTAATTTGTCCCTTTACACCATTTAGCGTCCAGTGATCTGTCCATCCACTACCGTGTTGCTTCGCATCGACATCGACTTGTCCGCCGGCGTGTCAGTTCCGCTGCTGCCACTGCCGCCAGCGCCGGTGACACCAGTAGACAACGTGGAACTTGAACCATCAACCAGTAGGGGCACGTACAAGAAAGTTGCCACCGGCATCCTCTCCGGTAGGGTCGGCAGAGGCTGCTCGCGCCGCAGCACACCGACGGCCTGCCTGATGGACGGCCTGAGGCTCCGGTCGGGGTGCGCGCACCAGAGCCCGACGACCATCACACGCTCCATCTCCTCGCCGTCAAACTCCCCTTCCAGCCGCGCGTCAGCGGCATCAAGAACCCTTCGCATGCCGTATGATGCCCAGACCCGCTGGGCCAGGTGGACCATCTGTTCCTCTTCTGCCACCGCCAGAGGCCGCCTGCCGCAGGCAATCTCGAGGAGGACAACTCCAAAGCTGTACACGTCCGACTCGGCGCTGGTCCGGCCGGTTGTCATGCACTCCGGGTCCATGTACCCCATCGTGCCGGCGAGCACCGTGGTGTGCGAGCCCCTGCCATGGTCGACGAGCCTGGCAAGCCCGAAGTCGCCAAGCTTGGCAGCAAAGGAGGCGTCCAGCATGATGTTGCTTGGCTTGATGTCTCTGTGCAGGACGCACTGCTCCCACTCTTGGTGAAGATACAGGAGGGCAGAGCCCAGTCCAAGCACGATCTCGTGCCTGGCCGGCCATGGCAGCACGGCTGCGTTCTTGCCGCCGTAGAGGTGCGTGTCAAGGCTGCCGTTGGGCATCAGCTCGTAGACAAGGAGCAGCTCGCCCCCGCCGTGGCACCAGCCGATAAGCTGCACCAGGTTTCGGTGCCGGAGTCGGCTTATGATCGTCACCTCGGAAGCATATTCTTTCTTCCCTTGCTTGGAACCTTTGGAGACTCGCTTGATGGCCACCTCGAGGTTCGACTCCTTGAGATATCCTCTGTACACGGAGCCGAAACCTCCTTCCCCGAGCTTCTTCTTGTCGGAGAAGTTGTCGGTGGCGATGGCCAGCTCACCGTAGTGAAACCGCTTGGGCCCAGTCCCTTTCTCGAAGTCGTCTTCCATGGCTGGGTCGTCGCCGTCGGAGAATTTGCCATCTTCCGGCTCTTGCCCCTTTGCCTGCTTATTGGCAGTGATTGGGTGCTTTTGCCGTCGTCGGAAAAGGAGACAGACCAAGACACCAACCAGAATGATCAAGAACGACACGGCACCAATGGAGCTGCCGATCAGGAGCCTTGTTCTTGAAGAAGACGATGCTTCTGTCACAGAATTCCAAGAACAATAGAGATTAATATCTCACTGGATATAGATATATATGTGAAAGAAGGCTACCCCAAACCTGCAAAGACTGACCTCCGGGCTTTGGAGACGACGGCGGCGGGGGTTCTGATGCAGGTGGAAGGGTTATGTCAAAGGGGCCGATCTGGTAGTGCACGTAGCAGCTGTATGCCTTGACGGCGCCACCGGTCTCGTTCTGGAACAGCTCCGGCAGTTTGCCGACCAAGGAGGAGAGGCACCGGCTGCACTCGCTCGCGTTGAGGTTCCTCGTACACTGCGCCAGCCCGAACACCCGCCACGAAGCATCGTACAGCGTGCTCCCACTCGCTGCCCGCGCCGGCGACCCAGCGGCCTGTCCCGTGAGGTCGGCCATCAGCGGAAGCCACACCCTGGCCATGGCCACCGGATCGACCGGGATGGGCGCGGTGTACTTCACGTAGAAAGCGATGTCAAGGTCGGCCGTTGATGCAAAGGTTAACACCGGTGAGTACCGGAGTATGCACGCATCGTATGCCGCGCGCACGTCCCGGCTGCCAGGGCACAAGGCCATGATCCCCGCCGGCGCTCCGGTGAGGCATTCCAGGCACTCTGCCGCGTCGTGGTCGGCATAGCACATGATGAGGGTGAAGACCTGGTCGGGAGATCCCGAGTCCCCCGCAGTGCCGATGTAGAACCCATCGTTCCTGCTGGCAGCCGCGGGGAGGGCGGCGAGGAGCTCGTCGAGGTTCTTCTTGAACTGGCTGCCATCGGTGTAGTTGCCAGTGGTCGAGCAGGAAGGATGCACTGGAGCCAGGAACTTGTCCTGTTTGCCAATTGCAGCAGCGGCGCCGACGCCGAGAGATGCAACAACGGCGAGGACGAGGATGACAAAGCTGGAAACCATGGACGACGGTCAGCCGGCCGGCATGGGAGGCTTTGGTGCTTGGGATCCTAACAAAGGTAACTTCTCTGTTTTGCTCTCATTTCTAACTTTGATTAGATTATACTGTACTTGTGAACCTACCTGACCAAGATTAAGCTTATGCACGCCATACTTTATATTTTGCTGGAGATGATGGAGTAGAATCTGTCCGAGGCAGATACATAATTTGGAGCTTGGGTAATGCCAAATGTCATATGAGGGGTGTTCCTTAGCCGGCTTATTTTCGGCTTACATTATGTATAGTATTTGCCCCAGTCAGTGTCAAAACTATTAGTATTTGCCTCAGTCACTATCCCTTTAGTGATGCCAAACTAGGCAGAAGACTCTGGGGTCTGGGGAACTAGCAATTTCAGTTCAAAGGCCTTTACCTTGTTTATCAGTTCTCCACTTCTGATGCTGTTTGATAAAACCATATAGTATTAGGAAAAGTGTATATATATGTTTCTCCTATATACATGCCTCCAGAACCACATGTATCTATTCCTAAATTGATTAAAACCATGTGTCATGCGAAGAAAATAAAAAGGGAACGGTTTGTTAGGAATATATTGGGATATTGTATGAAAAACATATTTCTGCATATAAATGAAACAAATGCATGGCAAAAATATAATCATGGGTCATAGTACACGAAACAAATTTGCAGAATATTATACCTCAATCTGTAAAGTTCCTAGTAGAGGTATCCTATAAAAGAGACATCCTTCTTTCAATTAAGAGTTTTCCAGCTTCGTTAAAGACGATCCCAAAAATAGATATAACACGAGATATTGATAACCCACCTAAAAACCTAAATATCAAACCAGAAAGATTATGAGTAAAACTATGGAAGTAGAAACAAAAATGCTTACATCATAAAACTTAATTGTGTAACAGAATAAAACGATCTTGGGCAAACTAAACCAAAAGCAGGGCAAGAACAACAGAAACTGCAGGACAGAGTAACACATCTCTTAGTAGAACGATAGATAAGGAGGCATAGTTTTTTTTTATCGAAAGATAAGATGAACTTGTCTCTAGTTCAGGAGCCTGAACAAAAAATGCACTACTTATATCTGTGTCATTGTGGTGCCTGGACTTGATAAGCAATCCTTCTGTGCTGATCCTAGGTGTCTCACACGTGCTTTAGTGACTGGTTATGCAGTTAGAACATGCAATTGCTGACTCAATGCAGTTATACATTTCAGTTATTTTATTGAATACATATAAAAAGATAATTCTTAGACCTTTAGTTGCAATTGACAGCGAGCAATTTATCTATGTGTCCCAATGTGAATGTACAATGGAAGGTCTGAAGAAAGTTTGTTGATGTGACTGCGTGCCGCCTGGCACCGCAGGGCAACGAGCGCTGTACAAAATCAGAGTGGACGCTTGCTATGGGCTACAGCAAGTATTCACAGATTCTTTGCGCCTGTGGATGTGGGATAGTGGGTCTTGATTCAGCGGAGCCAGCTCCATGTTGTTTCAGTCCCAATCAACCTTCCTTCAGGGTCGTTTCGGTTGACTGCTGTCCCTCCAACTTCCTAGTCGATCTTTCTTCAGGGTCATTTTGGTGGTCTGCCGTTTCTCCATCTGCCTTGCTATGCAGCTGCTCTTCTTCTTGGGTTGTTGTTAGTAGTAGTAGTTATTTTCAGGGCACTGTTTTGTTTGAGTTGTTTTGAGGATGGAGGTCGTTTGTGCTCAGACTTTGTATGGGGTTTCTTCCCCTTTCCTTGCTATCTACTCCCTCCGTAAACTAATATAAGAGTGTTTAGATCACTATTTTAGTTATCTAAACGCTCTTATATTAGTTTACAGAGGAAGTATTTATTCACAGGCAGTCCTCCTGCTTGGTTCGAAAAAAAATAGTTTATTACTAAATTTATCAGGAGCTCAATGCATTTATCACGTGTGGCTTCAGAATTCCCCCCTTTAATATTGAAAAGGTTGCTGGAAGTCTTACACCCCTTGTTCCTCTGTTCAATTTGGTAGGATTAATCTGTGATAGCATTCCTACACAATCTGGTACACAAACCAAAACATATACAAGTAGCTGAGAGGTGGGGTACCATCTCACACAGTCGATCGGGTCCGTTCATTTTCAATCCGACAACTGCTGATAGGAAGACCTTCCCACTAAAGTGGTTTGGGGATTTAAGGCAAGTATGGCGCTGTGATTCACCCAAAACCGCCCCTATGGGTCTTACATCACGTGTACAGGTAGGGTTCCCCTTTTCTTTTGGAGGGATATCACTACAGCATTTAGGGCCTCGTCGATTTGCAGGACACCAAAAAATGCAGGAATAGGAAAACGAAGGATTGCATTTGGCATACCCGCGTGAAGCCTATAAGATTTAATTTGCACCAAAAGGTTTGTTTGATTGCATCATAAGAAAAGAAACAATAATTTTCAAGAGGCTTGATTCAACTGAATTTTTCCTATGACTTTATGAAACTCTAGTACAATGGAATCCTTAGGGAAAAAAATCTCAACACAATCCTGAAATTCCCAAGGATTAATCCTCCAGAATTTGAAAAAAATCCCTTGCAGCAACGAGTTCTTAGCTAGCACCACTACCTCATCCAAAATTACCAAAGTAAGCAATGGAATCCTTCAGAGAAAAAATCCTATGTGATACTGTCCTAAAATTTCTAATCCTCCAAAATTCATACGAAAATCCATTAAATCAAAGAGGCCCATCACTGGAATCACTAAATCAATCCAAAACTGAACAAAGTAATCTTTAACTATAAGAATCAGAAGTACATCACATATGCATGATTAACCACAACATCTAAGACCCGATTAGCTGGGTGATCTAACAGGCCAGGTTGTTCCACACTGACATCATGTAGAAGCCATGGCAATGGAGCACAACAAAAGGATGTAAATATTACTTACATATATGGGGAAGGCTTGTGTGTTCCATGCCACATCTTAAGCACTAAATTAATTCATGCATGTCCACTGCTTCTGTTCTGTGAATTTCTCATGGAGGATATCCAATCCACAAAAAGAACCAAACAGGATTAGAGGTTACAATCTCTTCTTGCTTCTTGAACATCCCAAAGGGCAATCAACTGTGTGAAATATAAATTGCTTAGGTGATCAACTTCTAAATCCCTGATCATCCAGTAAATCTTCATGATTTGATTTTGCCAACTCGATGTTCAAGGAAGTGGAGAGGCTAACCTAGAGACACCCCCATATACTCTTTTTCTAATGTTGGCGACTATCCTATCTGCGACCTGGACATCAGTTTCTTCATCATCTTTTAGCTTCTGCAACTCCTTCGGATCTTTACACTCCTTCAGAACATTGGAAACAGCCTGAGCTTTCTCCAATATTAATTTTCTCTTTTCTATAGCGTTGTCGCCTTCCTTTTCTCTGTAGCTGCCAGGCAACTTTGTAGAATGTGGTACTGAGCGCATTAGGTCGGTCAACTTCTCTTCCAGTTGAACCAAACCCAGCCGCTTGAGCTCTTTCATAAGCATCCTGTAAGTGATATACTGGGGCACGTGCCCTCTACGAAACATGTCCTCAAACTCAGCACATGCTTCCTCAAACCGATGACTTCGGCAAAGCAAATGTATCAGCATGGTGCTTGTTGCCAGATCAGCCTCAAAACCATTAACCTTCATCTCCTTTATCATCTGCACCACTAATTCAAGCCGATTAGCCTCGCACAACATCTTGACCAGGAGGTTGTAAGTGGTCTGGTCCGGCGCATAACCATTGTTGACCATCTTGTTATAAAGATTCATCCCCAGCTCAACATTGCCGGTCTTGGCAAAGAACACGAAGAAGTAATTGTACGTTTTTGCCGTTGGCAAGATGCCCCTCCCCATCATGGCCTTGAGCACACCGCTTGCCCCGGCAAGGTCTCCATATTTGCAGTAAGCCAACACGAGCGAGTTGAATGTCGAGATATTAGGCGCCACCCCGTAGAGAGGAAATTTCTCGAGCAGGTTGTATGCGTCCCGAAATCGGCCGGCGTGAGCCAGGGCGTGCACGATGGGGTTGCAGGTAACCAGATTCGCCTCGATCCCCTCCTTCCGCATCTCGTCGAGGAGAGACATTGCCTGGTCCGGCTGCTGCATCCGACAAACCGCCTTGATGAGAGTCCCGTAGGAGACCACCGTCGGCCGCACGCCGGCCACGCGCATCTCTGCCCAGAGCTTCCCGACCTTGTCCAGCCGGCGGGCGCCGGACCAGCCGTCGAGGAGCATGTTGTAGGTCCGTTCATCGGGCGCGAGCTCCCCCTCACGCCGGCACCGCTCGACGAGTTTGGCGGCCGGGCGCGGGTGACCCTCCTTGCAGAGCGCCCCGACAGCCATGTTTAGGAGGGAGGTGGCGGCGGGCGAGCCGTCGCCATCGACCGTGTAGCGGTCGGGGTTGCGGCGGAGGAAGTGGAAGGCGCGGAGGGCCGCGGAGGCGCGGCCGAGGCGGGCGTAGCGGCGGACGAGCGGGGCGAAGGCGGCAAGGGCAGGGGGCGGAGACGAAGGCGACTGGAGGAGGAGGAGGCGCCAGGAGGCCGCGAAGAAGCCGCGGGAGGCGAGGAGGGAGACGGCGGCGGCGGAGCCGGCCCAGCGGGCGAGCGTGGGGAACGCGGACTCCGGGAGGGTGGTGAGCGACCGGCGGAGATGCGGGAACAGGGCGGGGTCCGGGCTGATGCCGGACGCGCGAAGGCGGTCGTCGGGGTCCGCGTCGCTGAGGATTGAGATTACTGCGGCGGCGGCGGCGGAATCGTTGGGAGGGGCGGGAGCCGAGAGCGGGGCGGCGGCGGGCCTAGCCTGCATTTCGTTTTCGGGGTGTCTGACGAGGATGGGAGAGGTTTTGCTTTGCCCTGCCCCGGCACGACTGCTTTTTAGAGGAGCCGTCCGATTACATCATGTACGGTTAGGATGGTTGCTCCTGAATTCAAAACATTCAGAGTTGTCGTGTGTTCGTGTTGCGCAAATTCCTCTAACTCTCACACAAG